GCCCCGGCCGGGCCCCCCCGCGCCGGACCATGTACTCAGCCCACAGGCCCCTTGTGCCCGCGTCCGGCGCGGCCTCCCGTGGCCTCGGCATGTTCGGTCAGTAGTGCCTGGGCCCTGGGACTGCAGGGGTCAAGGTGTCGGGGTGCTAAGTGCGGCGTAATGGTGTTAGGGGTATAGTATGAGAGTGATAGAGGCGGAGTACAGAGGTGACGGGAAAGTTACAGAGCTCAGCTGGGCCAAGCGGTTAGTGACGGCAGGTGGGAGTGTAGCGGGAGTGATGGGAGAGAGGCGAGGGGAGTAGCTAGGGACAGCTGTGGTGTTTGGGTGATGGGGTGGCACGGTCCGTTGTCATTGGAGGTGAGGGGTGCAGAGTAACTGGCTTGGGAGCATGGATTAGGATAGGGGCAGCATGAAACCTGCTGGCCTTAGGTGTGGAAGAGAGGGGGAAGGGAGCGTGATCGAAGAGTGGGGCTAAGAACAGGGCTTGAGAAGTGAGCGAGGCGCTGCTTGCTTAGAACAGAGTGATGGGCTGGAGTGTATGTGGTGTGCTAGGCAGAGACGGAGGGACCCAAGAACCTGGACGGGAGTGCACTGAGGAGGACCTGAGGAGGGGCAGGACCAAAGGACTCTTCCCCCATTGTCTGCTGGTCCCCCTTCTTCCCCACCCAGCAGATGAGAGGCCCGGTGGGTAAGATCTTGGTGAAGAGAGGGACAGGTCTAGATCCTTGGAGTTGGAGGGCCGAGCAGGCTTTTGCGGTCCCCAGTGTCCCAGGGATCAGGGACAGGGTCCTCAGAGCGTCTTGAGACCCCCTCCGGTGCTGGCTTCCTTATCCTTCTTCTGTTGATTTGATGTCTACTTTTTCTTTTGTCAGCCCTTTGCAGAATCAGGTCTCGAGGCCAATGTCTCCTATAGAGCTGTCTTAGTCCAGGCTTTTGAGGGCATAGAGGGGTCACCCCAGGTCAGATTGATCTGGCTCAGGGGGAGGCTTGGAATGATGGAGACCAAGGCTAGGGCGTTTCCCTTCTCTCTTCATCGTCTTCCCTCGCAGGGGCCTCCTCAGCTGGTTCCACTTCCCCCAGGGAGCCAGCAGTGAGAGGGCAGCCCACTCCTAGGCTAGGCCTGCCCCAGGAGTCCTGCCAGGGATGGGTCCCAGCCCAGGGCTTACCCTGCTACCCCCCAGGTCCTGGGGCAGAAGGTTGGACCCCTGGGACTGGCCCCCTGGGAGGGAAGTGCCTTCCTGTGCATATTCTTAAGAAAACACCTGACACTTTTGTCTTCCTTGGGCATAGACTTGTAACAGTTCTCTTGTCTGTCCCATTGTCTGTGCCTTTTCTTCCAAGGAGTTTACCACACCCTCCCCTTTTTGGGCAAGGGGCCTGGATACTGCACCCAGGATAAGTTCAGAGGTTGAGAGGGAGCGGGGCTGGGAGACCACTTCGTGGGCAGTAGATTCTCTTAGGGGGCCGGGGGAGACGCTGGAGCCACCTGTGCCCAGCCCAGGAAAGGCGGGTCTGGCTCCTTGGGGTTTGTGGTACAGGGAGGGAGGCAAGGAGAAAGACTTAAGACCCCACGTCCTGTGGGTAATGGAGAGGGAAGAGAAGGGGAAACCAAGCCATGGTCTCCTCAAGAGAGAGAAAGGGAGTGCGAGGTGAAGATGAGGGGCCATGTCAGATAGCAACCTGGGTGCTGGAAATGTGGCATGACTGGGGAGGGTTCCTAGCCCTGCTGAGGTCTTGGGGCCTTGGGAGTATGAGATGGCAGTCGAACATGGCCTGGTTTGTGACAGGAGCCAGTCATTCCTCTGGCCTGGTCCCTGGTGGCAGGGCTGGTAGCAGTGGGGGAGGGAATGGGGCGTGAGGCCTATTTCCCTTCCCAGCTTCTGTTTTCTTTTGTATAAACCTCGAAATCTTTCAGGGAGGAGTTTTTCCTGAGTGATGTTGTACGCACAAGCCCACGAGGCTCTGGGATAGTGGAAGGGGGTGTGAAGGAGGCGTGGAGCCACCTCATCCAGGGTGGAAAAGAGCTTGAGTTGGGGGTCAAGGCCAGGGTCTCCTGCTGCACAGCTTAGCTGGCTTCTTCCCACAGTGTGGACGAATGTGGAACCTCGCTCTGTTGCCGTGTTCCCCTGGCACTCCTTAGTCCCCTTTCTGGCCCCCAGCCAGCCCGACCCCTCTGTGCAGCCAAGTGAGGCCCAGCAACCTGCCAGCCACCCAGTGGCCTCCACCCAGAGCAAAGGTGAGGAGTGGGGGGCCACGGAAGGCATGGGGATAGGGTCCAAGCAGCCCAAGAGCCCTCTGACCTGCCTCTCTGCCCCCAGAACCTGCTGAGTCCGCGGCTGTCGCTCACGAGCAGCCACCAGGTGGGACAGGGAATGCTGATCCCGGGCGGCCCCCTGGAGCCACCTGCCCTGAGAGCCCAGGGCCTGGACCCCCCCACACTTTGGGGGTGGTGGAACCTGGAAAGGGTCCCCCTCCCACCACTGAGGAGGAGGCCCCTGGCCCTCCAGGAGAGCCCCGACTGGACAGCGAGACGGAGAGTGACCATGATGATGCGTGAGTGCCATGAGGTTTGGGACCGGGCGGGCGGGGGGAGCAGAGATGTGGCCCTCACTGTCCCTGCCACTCCCACCACAGATTCCTCTCCATCATGTCTCCTGAGATCCAGTTGCCCCTGCCACCCGGGAAACGCCGGACCCAGTCCCTCAGTGCCCTGCCAAAGGAACGAGACTCCTCGTCGGAGAAGGATGGACGCAGCCCCAACAAGGTGCCTCATCTCTACTTGTCCCCAGCTCACCCTCTGGCTGCCCAAGCCTGTCTCCTGGTTTTAACCGTCCCACTGTGCTGTAGCGGGAGAAGGACCATATCCGGCGGCCCATGAACGCCTTCATGATCTTCAGCAAGCGGCACCGGGCCCTGGTCCACCAGCGCCACCCCAACCAGGACAACCGGACCGTCAGCAAGATCCTGGGCGAGTGGTGGTATGCCCTGGGGCCCAAGGAGAAGCAGAAGTACCATGACCTGGCTTTCCAGGTAATGCCTCTTCCTCTTGGTTCCTCCCCAGCTTCCTCTGGTGGGGTGGGTGAGTGAAGGGTCCCTCCTCTCTCTCCTGCCAGGTGAAAGAGGCCCACTTTAAGGCCCACCCAGACTGGAAGTGGTGCAACAAGGACCGGAAGAAGTCCAGCTCAGAGGCCAAGCCCACGAGCCTGGGGCTGGCAGGCGGGCACAAGGAGACTCGGGAGCGGAGCATGTCAGAGACAGGGACTGCCGCTGCCCCTGGAGGTTGGTCGGCTCCTTGGTTGACTCGTCCTGCCCCCACCCTCCCTGAGAGGTGCCAGCTACCCCCTTGTTTGCTCAGCCCCTGCCCCAGAAGCCTTTGTCTGTCCTCTCATTTCATTTGAGGACCCTTAGCCATAAAGGAACTGGCAGTTGTCTTGTATGAAGAAGCCAGGGAGGTCTAGACAGACAGAGTTTCCAGGCAGTCATTTTGTTATCGGTTGTCATTTGCTGAGCATTTACTACATGCTGGGTACGAAGAGGAGTATAGCCTCTACTTTTGAAAGCTGTACCCCCATTTTCCAAATGAGGAGACTAAGACTCAGGCAAAATCGCTTGTCGGAAGTTATAGAAGACTAGTAAATGGTAGAGCCAGAGCTTAAACCCCAGCTTGGGTGGTATCCAGAATCATAGTTGGAAGCCCCTCAGTGGCTGCTTCTACTGACAGTGTCTCGCGTGCATAGCGCTTTTCTGAGGCACTTTTTTGGAGTGATCTGTGGGTATGGGCCTGCAATTTTCTGAAGGTGGGGTTGCTTCCTCTCTGAGATAGAGGGATGGAGACTCAGGCCCATGGTTATTAGCTAGCAAGCACCACACTACCTGTTTTCAGCTTTTCATACTCAAGAAGGCCTGCCTCCCGGGGAGCAGTCCATTAGGAAATGCTGGGCTGGTGGCTGGCATCTCTTCTGCCAGGTAGCCCGGGAGTTTCAAACTTCCTTTTGCTTCTCCAGTATGTAGACATATCTGTAGATGTTTTGGCCGATCTAGGTGCTGCTAAGGGGCTTCTTGACTCCGTGACACCTCTCTCCTTACATTCTGCAGTGTCCTCGGAGCTCCTGTCCGTCGCAGCCCAGACCCTCTTGAGCTCGGATACCAAGGCTCCGGGGAGCGGCTCCTGTGGGACAGAGCGTCTGCATGCAGTGGGGGGACCTGGCTCGGCCCGGCCCCGAGCCTTCTCCCACAGTGGGGTCCACAGCCTGGATGGTGGGGAAGTAGATAGCCAGGCACTACAGGAACTGACTCAGGTCCGGGGGCAGGGGAGATGGGCAGGGAGGGCTGCCCCAAGGTGATGGCCCCAGCTGAACTCTCCCGGTACCTGCCCTGCAGATGGTGTCTGGCCCTGCATCCTATTCTGGTCCAAAGCCTTCCACCCAATATGGGGCTCCAGGCCCCTTCTCAGCCTCCAGTGAGGGAGGTGCCCTGGCGGCTAGTGGGCGACCCCCGCTGCTGCCCACCCGGGCCTCCCGTTCCCAGCGTGCAGCCAGTGAGGACATGACCAGTGACGAGGAACGCATGGTCATCTGCGAGGAGGAGGGAGACGATGATGTCATTGGTGAGCAGTTGCAGGGCCCAGAATCCTGCCCGGAGAGCAGTAGGCTAAGGTTTGGGGGGGTGGGCAAAGATTTGATCTAGGCCTCAGGCTCTTCTTGTTTTGCATGTTTGTTTAGGATTGCAAGCATGTTCAGCTCAGGCCCTACTGAGTAAACCCAGCCCTGCCTTTGGGAAGCTTCTGGCCAGGCACAGGGCCACGGATGGCCAGGCCATGGGGCACAGTGTTAGGTGGTAGTACGTGCATGCTTTTAGGTTCCCCTGGGCAGGTGGGCGCACCCTAGGCTGCGTTCTTGGATAACAGTTACTGCTGGCTTAGGGGGCTGAGGCCAGAGCCTGGGCTCCGTGCTGTCCCTCCCGGGCACTCCTGCACCCAGCCCTTTTGCCAATACCATTCGCTCCCTCAGCTGACGACGGCTTCGGCGCCACTGACATTGACCTCAAGTGCAAGGAGCGGGTGACTGACAGCGAGAGCGGAGATAGCTCTGGGGAGGACCCAGAGGGCAGCAAGGTGAGACCTGGGGAATTGGCGGTGTCTGGTAATGGTTCTAGGAAGGGGAGATACCTGTTCTTGTGCGCATTGCCACAGAGGAAGATGAAGGCCCAAAAAGGGCAAGCTACTCGCCCCATGGCGAATTGGGTCACAGCCTGGATGAATTGAGGCCTTTAGCTGGCCTCACTGCCAGGCAGGACAGGGATGGGCAGGATGTGCGTATCCAGGCTCCCTTGATGTGGTTGCGTCTCCTCCTTCCACCTAGGGCTTTGGCCGGAAGGTGTTCTCGCCTGTGATTCGTTCCTCTTTTACCCACTGCCGCCCACCGCTGGACCCTGAGCCCCCAGGGCCCCCGGATCCACCACCTCCAGCCTTTGGCAAAGGCTACGGGCCCACCCCATCCTCCTCCTCCTCGTCGTCCTCACCTGCCTCCTCCTCAGCCTCTGCCGCCACCTCCTTCCCCCTGGGCTCAGGGACCTTCAAGGCCCAGGAGTCAGGTCAGGGCAGCACGGCAGGCCCACTACGGCCCCCACCTCCTGGGCCTGGGGGTCCAGTGACACCTTCCAAGGCCACCCGGTTCCTCCCAACGGATCCTGCCGCCTTCCGGCGCAAGAGACCTGAAAGTGTGGGAGGCCTGGAGCCACCGGGCCCCTCTGTCATTGCGGCACCTCCTGGCGGGGGAGGAAGTGTCCTGCAGACGCTGGTCCTGCCCCCAAATAAGGAGGAACGGGAAGGCGGCGGAACCCGCATGCCCTCGGCCCCAGCCCCATCACTGGCCTATGGGGCCCCAGCAGCCCCCCTGTCCCGCCCAGCTGCTACCATGGTCACCAACGTGGTGCGGCCTGTCAGTAGCACTCCTGTGCCCATCGCCTCTAAGCCCTTCCCCACCGCTGGCCGGGCTGAGGCATCTCCAAATGACGCAGCAGGTGCCAGGACTGAGCCGGTCACAGGGTCCCGGGCGCCTGGGAGCTCCCCGCTGGGCGTAAGCTTAGTGTATTCGGACAAGAAGTCGGCAGCAGCCACCTCGCCGGCCCCGCATCTGGTGGCTGGGCCCCTCCTGGGCACTGTGGGGAAGGCCCCTGCCACAGTCACCAACCTGCTGGTGGGCACACCTGGTTATGGGGCCCCGGCGCCCCCTGCTGTTCAGTTCATAGCCCAGGGGGCCCCTGGCAGTGGGGCCGCTACAGGCTCAGGAGCAGGTGCTGGGAGTGGCCCCAATGGGCCAGTGCCCCTGGGCATCCTGCAGCCGGGTGCCTTGGGCAAGGCTGGGGGAATCACCCAGGTGCAGTACATCCTGCCCACGCTGCCCCAGCAGCTTCAGGTGGCACCTGCCCCAGCACCAGCCCCTGGGACCAAGGCAGCAGCTCCTGGTGGCCCCGCACCCACCACCAGCATCCGTTTCACCCTCCCACCGGGCACCTCCACCAACGGCAAAGTTCTGGCGGCCACCGCACCCACTCCTGGCATCCCCATCCTGCAATCCGTACCCTCCGCCCCGCCCCCCAAAGGTGAGGTCTGGGCTCAGCGGTGAGGGAGGGGGGCCCCAGGCCCCTTGTGGCTCTCTGACAACTTCTCCTCTTTCCACTTGCAGCCCAATCGGTTTCTCCTGTGCAGGCCCCACCCCCGGGCGGCTCAGCCCAGCTGCTACCTGGGAAGGTCCTGGTGCCCCTGGCGGCCCCTAGCATGTCGGTGCGGGGCGGAGGGGCTGGCCAGCCACTGCCCCTGGTGAGCCCGCCGTTCTCGGTACCTGTGCAGAATGGGGCCCAGCCACCCAGCAAGGTAAGGGCATCCTGGTTCCACCTGTTCCCCGTGCCCTCCCCTCCTGGGTGTTGGTTTCTGTGCCATGGTTTCTGCCTGCTTTTCCTTTGGTCTCTTGTGCTTTTTTTCCTTTTTATCTTTCTGGAACCCTGTCTCTGGGACTGTGTCTTTCTGTGTACTTCGATGTCTGCACGTGTCTCGATTCTTCTCTCAGCGTCTGCACCTTGCTCCTTTGTGTGAAACACGCCTTGCTGTTTTCTTTGTTTTGTTCTGTCTTGATTTCAAATTTTGTGTTCCCTGTCTTCGCTGAGACCCACCTTCCTAGGTCTGGGTCTGTCCCTGCTCCAGCCTGAGTCCCCAGCTCACCCCAGCCTGTGGGTGCCCTTGCCCACAGATCATCCAGCTGACTCCGGTGCCCGTGAGCACACCCAGCGGCCTGGTGCCGCCCCTCAGCCCAGCCACGCTCTCCGGACCCACCTCGCAGCCTCAGAAGGTCCTGCTACCCTCCTCCACCAGGTAATGGTAGCTGAGCCCACACCTGGAGGCCAGCCCAGAGAAGGGCCTGGGGGTGGGGCGGTGGGCAGCTCACCTCACTCCTCCCCCTTCCTCTCCCTGCGGCAGAATCACCTACGTGCAGTCGGCGGGTGGGCACGCGTTGCCCCTGGGCACCAGCCCTACGTCCAGCCAGGCTGGAACAGTCACCTCGTATGGGCCCACGAGCTCGGTAGCCCTAGGCTTCACCTCACTGGGGCCCAGCGGACCCGCCTTTGTGCAGCCACTGCTTTCAGGTGAGGGGCAGTGTGGCAGGCAGAGCTGGGGACCCAGGGTGGTGCAGAGGTGGCCCAGGCCCTAATTGGGGCCCCTGCCTCTCTTCCTCTGTCTCCATCCCTGCAGGCCAAGCCCCGCTGCTGGCTCCTGGCCAGGTGGGCGTGTCACCCGTGCCCAGTCCCCAGCTGCCGCCCACCTGCACGGCCCCCGGAGGTCCCGTCATCACGGCGTTTTACCCTGGCAGCCCTGCACCCACTTCCTCAGCACCCCTGGCCCAGCCATCCCAGGCGCCCCCAGGCCTGGTCTACACCGTGGCCACTAGCACCACCCCACCTGCTGCCACCATCCTGCCCAAGGGCCCACCAGCTCCTGCCACTGCCACTCCGGCCCCCACCAGCCCTTTCCCTAATGCCACAGGTGGGTGTTGGGCCATCCCAGGGTGGGGTGAGTTGGGAGACCCAGGAGAAGGGCTCCAGACAGGCCTGGCTCAGCAAATGCTCTTCTCTCCACCAATAGGCTCCATGACCTACAGCTTAGTGGCCCCCAAGGCCCAGCGGCCCACCCCCAAGGCCCCCCAGAAAGTGAAGGCGGCCATCGCCAGCATTCCCGTGGGTTCGTTTGAGGCAGGTGCCCCTGGGCGGTCAGGCCCTGCAGCCCGGCAGCCCTTGGAGCCTGGCCCGGCCCGGGAGCCCCCTACCCCCGAGTCTGAGCTTGAGGGGCAGCCTACGACACCGGCTCCTCCACCGCCCCCAGAGACCTGGGCTCCCACAGCCCGGAGCAGCCCCCCGCCGCCCCCACCTGCTGAGGAGCGAACAAGCACCAAGGGCCCTGAGGCCATGGTGAGTGCACAGCAGGCCCGGGGGCTCCCGTTGCTGCCTGGCTCTGTGCGTCAGTCCACCGTCTGTTTTTCTGCTCCATCCCTTTTCCCTGCACACCTGTCTGACCTGTATCCTTGTTTGTGGGGGTCGGGGGGAGGTTCTTCTGTCCCTTTTGCTTGTCTGTATGACCGGGTCTTCTCCAAGACTCTACACCTGGGGCAGTCAGCATCCATCTCTTTGTTGTTCTGGGTTTTGCACCAGTGAGTCTGAACCCAGTGTCCTCCGTCTCCCTGCCATCCCTACTACCCCAGGCCAGCAAATTCCCCAGCTCATCTTCAGACTGGCGAGTCCCTGGGCTGGGTCTGGAGAGCCGGGGGGAGCCTCCCACTCCTCCCAGCCCAGCACCAGCTCCAGCCCCGGCCCCTGGCGGCGGTGGCGGCAGCGAGGGCAGCAGCGGGAGGGCAGCTGGGGACACCCCTGAGCGCAAGGAGGCCGCTGGTACCGGCAAGAAGGTGAAGGTGCGGCCCCCGCCCCTGAAGAAGACCTTTGACTCTGTGGACAAGTGAGCATGGGCTGGGGTCCGCGGCAGCGTGTGCGGGGCTGGCAGGAGAGGGGGGCAGCTGCAGTCCGGGACGGGGGAGGTGACCCTGCCGGCTCTCCAGCAGGGTCCTGTCGGAGGTGGACTTCGAAGAGCGCTTTGCCGAGCTGCCCGAGTTCCGGCCTGAGGAGGTGCTGCCCTCGCCGACCCTGCAGTCTCTGGCCACCTCGCCCCGGGCCATCCTGGGCTCCTACCGCAAGAAGAGGAAGAACTCCACCGGTAGGCGAGTGTGGGGCACCCGGGGAAGGCAGGGGACAGACTGGGGCCGCCTCCGCTGAGCCTGCTTGCTTTTGTTGGACCAGACCTGGACTCAGCCCCCGAGGACCCCACCTCGCCCAAGCGCAAGATGAGGAGACGCTCCAGTTGCAGCTCCGAGCCCAACACCCCTAAGAGTGCCAAGTGCGAGGGGGATATCTTCACCTTTGACCGCACAGGTGCCGGCGCCGAGGCAGGCGGAGCTGTGGGGACCCGGGAGCGGGGTTACAGATGAGAGGTGGGATGGCAGGTCAGGGATGGGAGGGTGGGGTCTGGAGCCCGACAGGGTCCGGAGACAGGTGCCCTCTCGGAACTCTGCTGTGGAATAGAATTCGGTGAGGGCTGGGTGGAC